TGCTGCAGTGTTCCCTGTAGCAGGAGAGTGTCATCGAATGCCCAGGGCAGTCGTGCTGCTGCTGCTGCGGCTGCATCTGTGGGGTATCCTGCTGCTGCTGCTGCATCAGCATAGAGCCCCTGCTGCAGCAGATCTGTCCCCTCAATATATTTGTTTGCTGCTGCTGCTGTGTCTCTGTTGCTGATACCTAACTGCAGCGGTGTCTCTCCTTCGGAGTAAGGGACGAGCAGCAGCTGATTTGGGTCCTCTGCTGCTGCTGCTGCTGCAGCTGCACCGTATCCGTGCTCTGTGTCTTCTTCATGAATGCCTTGGCGACCATGGTGTTGCTGCTGCATCGATTTGTTATGCTGCTGCTGCTGCTGCTGCTGCTGCTGCTGCTGCAGTGTGAATTGTTGCTGATCAGCATGTGCATAAGGCACGAGTTGTCTTTGCTGCAGTTGCTGCTGCTGCTTCTGCTGCTGTTGCGTATGTTGCAAGTGTTGTGAATGTGGATGTTGTTGGAGTTGCAACTGCTGGTGTTGCACCCTCTGGTGCTGTTGCTGCTGCTGCTGCTGTTGCTGCTGCTGCTGCTGCTGCTGCTGCTGCTGCTGGTGCATCATTAGCTGCTTAACATGAGGGGGGGCCTCTAGGTTACGTCTTGTTGTTTGCCTACTAACACGAATAGATAATTGTCTAACCCTTGCGGTGTCTCGCCAAAAATCATGAATACTTTCGCTATAACATTGTAGTACACAATTATCCATTCCCTGCAGCAGCAGCAGCAGCAGCAGCAGCAGCAGCAGCAGCAAGAGCAAGAGAAGCAGCAAGAGTAACAGGAGAATGAATTAGTTATCCAGAGTTGCCGCAGGGAAGGGTGATTGCTCCAGAGGTGTCGAGAATTCACAATAGGGTTCAGGGTTTAGCGTTTAGGGTTTAGGGTTTAGTGTTTAGGGTTTAGGGTTTAGGGTTTAGGGTTTAGGGAGTACGTCGGCACGTATCATCTTGGTGCGTCTGGAGATGGAGGTATTCTTAGAAAAGCGCGTCTCAATGAAACCCCTGAACACACAACTCAGCAACTCAAGGGTTTAGGGTTTAGGGTTTAGGGTTTAGGGTTTAGTGTTTAGGGTTTAGGGTTTAGGGTTTAGGGTTTACAGGTTGATAGTTTTAACATCAATCTCAAGAGTTGGAACATGACGAGAAACTTCTTCAGGAGAATTCCAATTCACATCATTGCCTGGTGCAGCACCGTAGCTGCCAGCAGCAACACAACGAGGTACCTGCAGCAGCAGCAGCAGCAGCAGCAGCAGCAGCAGCAGCAGCAACAGCAGTAGCAGTAACAGCAGCAGTAACAGAGGCAGAAGCAGCAGCAATAGTAGAGGCTGAAGACCCAGCGGGAGCAGAAACTGATGCAGCAACAGCATCAAGCAAAACAAGTAGCAGCCGCACCAGCAGCAGCAGCAGCAGCAGCAGCAGCAGCAGAAGCTCACCCAAATAAGGGCGTTTTGTTTCGTCTTGTTCCTTAGGACACTCAGTATCTGCACCTGTTGCATGCAGCAGCAGCAGCAGCAGCAGCAGCAGCAGCACTAGAACACATTTAGCAGCAGCATCAGAACCAGCAACAGCAGCAATAGCAGCAACAGCAGCAGCAACAGCAGCAGCAGCAGGAGCAGCAGGAGGGTACATGCCTGCATCTGTACACATCCAAGTACATAGATAAGGACACTCTCTGGTCTTGGTAGTACTCTCTCCTCCTCATCAAGATAGCAGCAAATAGAGTGTCTATACTCTGCTGCTCTATCTGTTGTTACCTTTAATCTGCTGCTGCTGCTGCTGCTGCTGCTGCCGTGGCTACCACTAGATCTACACTTTGTTAGAGGACCACCACCATATGTTGTATTGTTAGGTAATATCCATACGTGATTCAATGCACACATCCGCTGCAGCAGCACACAGCAGCAGCAGCAGCAGCAGCAGCAGCAGCAGCAGCAGCAGCAGCAGGGAAGTAGCAGCAATAAGTCGATGACAGGATATATGCCATACAGAAGCAGCAGCAGTTGCTGCTGCTGCTATGCAAGTACCACTGCAACAACAGCAGCAACAACAGCAGTAACAACAGCAGCAGAAGCAGCAACAACAGCAGCAGCAACAACAACAACTGCAGCAACTACACAAGACAAGACATACACATACACCCATCAACTGTATGCATGTATTCATACCCACAAATGCATACAAGCATGCATGCATGCATATATTCATGAATGCATACATATATTCATGAATGTATGCATGCATGCATGCATACCTCCTCATCAAGCCCCAAAGAGATACATATAATTCTATGAAGATTAAAAAGAGTAATTCCTGCATTTATACCAAATACTCTTCTTATAGGAATAAATTCTTTTTTTATTTCTTTATTATTATTAATTAATTTATTATTATTATTATTTATATTTATATTTATATTATTATTATTATTATTATTTATTAATTCTTTTCCTTCTTTTATTTCCTTTATCTCCCTTAGCTCAGGCAAATGCCACTCTAAGGATATCTCACACATATCATAATCATTAAGAGATATATTCTCTAGAGGCATACAATTATCATTTGCTGCTGTTGCTGCTGTTGCTGCTGCTGCTGCTGCTGCTGCACCTCCTCCTGCTGCTGATCCACCTAATCCTGAATTAGGCGGTCCTATTGATGGGTTATGATGGGGGTCTACAGCAGCAACAGCAGCAGCAGCAGATAGGGGGTAGCAGTTGCTGCTGCTGCAGACTGATGCACATGATGAGGAATCGGGAGGGATGTAGGCTAACCCTCGTGCTGCAGCAGCAGCAGCTGCTGCTGCTGCTGTTGCTGCTGCTGCTGCTGCTGATGCAGAACGACCATTGTTACATGAGGCACTGCTGCCACCAAAAGGAGACACAGAATAACGTAATTCGTGCTGCTGCTGCTGCTGCTGCTGCTGATATAAATTGTGGGGCCGGGAAGGGAGACACAGGGACCCCACAGAGACACTTGAATCGTCACTCTCTTGCTGCTGTTGCTGCTGCAGCAGTAGCTGCTGCTGCTGCTGCTGCTGTCTCCGTTGTTTATTCCTGTGTCTATTGCCGTTTGTGCCTGTATGATGGTGTCCATCAGCATGAGCAGCAGCAGCAGCAGCAGCAGCAGTAGGTGGCCATCTTGCTGCAGCAGCAGCAGATGAGCAACTAGGCAACCATTCGCTGCTGTCTGTCTCCTGACTGTCTCCTGAGTGTCTCCTTTTGCTTCTTATTTTGTCTCCTCTACTAGGCAGCAAAGAATTCTTTAATTCATTATCTGTCTCTTGTCCCCTGCTGCTGCTGCAGCTATTGCTGCTGCTGCTGCTGCTGCTGCTGCAGCAAGTAGATGAGATATTTCCTATATAAGAGTTACCGTCAGCAGCAGTGCTGCTGTCTAAATGTCCGTATAAGCCAAGACACCGCTCATACTGCTGCTGCTGCTGCTGCTGCTGCTGCTGCAGCTGCAGCTGCAGCTGCTGCTGCTGTGTAGATGTTGCTGCTGCAGCATCCCAGGAAGCAGCTAATAGATGCTGAGTACCAACCCCACCACCATCACCAGCAGTACCATTAGCAGCAGTACCAGTACCAGCAGCAACAGCAGCAGCAGCAGCAGCAGCAGCAGCAAAATCACAGGAAGGTACCTGCAGCAGCATAGAGTTAACAATTGCTGCTAACCCTTCGTTATTTATTTCTTCCCCTTCGTAAGGAATACCACCAAATAACGAATCAGGCAGCTCGTAACTCATCTTCCTGCTGCTGCTGCTGCTGCTGCTGCTGTTGCTGCTGCTGCTGCTGCTGCTGCTGGGGGTTATGCTGCTGCTGGTTGTGCTTCAGCTAATGATATTGTTGATATGGCTGCTGCTGCTGCTGCTGCTGCTGCTGGGGCAGGATGATGTTGATGCTGCTGATGCTGGTGCGGGTGTTGCTGATGAGGATGCTGGTGCTGCTGCTGCTGTTGCTGCTGCTGCTGCTGCTGATTTTGTTGCTGCTCCTAGCTTTTGTGAAAGGCTACAAGGAATACAAAAGGAGTCACTCTCCCGCTGCTTGCATGTGCTGCTGTTGCTGCTGCTGCTGGGGCAGCAGGTGCCCCCCAATGGCTCGGAGAAAGTGCAGCAGCAGCAGCAACAGCAGCAGCAGCAGCAGCTGCAGCAAGGGACTGCCTTGCAAACAGCAGTGGAGGTGAGCTGCTGTAGAGACACACGGCCGACAAGTAGATCCAAGACCTAAGAATACCTGCTGCAGCAGCAGCAGGAGCTGCTGCTGCTGCTTCGACTGCTGCTACTGCTGCTGCTGCTGTTGCTGCCGTTGCTGCTGCAGCAGCAAGAAGGGGAGCAGGCAGCTCCTAGGGGAGAGGAAGCAGCAAAAGAGCTGTGGGGAGGAAAGAGGGGCTTATATAAGAGTTAAGGGGAGGCAAGAAGCCCCAAATAAGAGGAGAGTGGTGCAGCACTGCTGCTGCTGCTGCTGCTGCTGCTGCTGCTGCTGTTGCCCCCACACAATGACCTACAGGAGGCGAGAGATAAGGCCCTAGGACAGGAGGGCAGGGGACATGACCCGATTTCCAGCCCCTAAACCCTAAACCCTAAACCCTAAACCCTAGAAATGAAGGAATAAAGCACTGACAAAGAAGAAGAAGATGCCAATAATAAAAGAGTTGCCTTGTTAGCTAAATAGCAACAAAACAAAGAAATAATCAATAAATAAAATACATAAAAAAGATACAAAATTAATTTATTCTTCTTTTTTACCATTAAACACGCTGCAGCCAATACAACCTCCCTGTACACCCCAAAAAATAACGCTGCTGCTGCTGCTGCTGCTGCTGCTGCAGTCCTACTGCAGCAACAACAGCAGCAGCAGCAACTGCAGCAATAAAATATAAATTATATACATTTATTCCTCTAAATATACTTTATTCTATTATATTGTCTATTTATTTCATTAAAAAATAAACACCCTAACCCTAAACCCTAAACCCTAAACCCCAATAACACCAAGTGACCCGACCAGACCAGACCAGTGCCTAATAAAGAAAAAAACCCTAAACCCTAAACCCTAATTCTAAACCCTAAAACCTTATTATTATTAAAATTTATCAGTAAACTCTAAACCCTACAAGGAGGTTTGCTGCTATGAGGAGACAGCAGGTCCACCCTCCTGTCTTTGGCCCTCACCGTAAACCCTAAACCCTAAACCCTAAACCCTAAACCCCCAACATTAAACATATTGAACATGAGGGGTCTCTTACGGTGCTGCTGTCTGCCTACTTGTTGGTGGTGGTTTCTGGTTAGGGTTTAGGGTTTAGGGTTTCGGTGCAGAGATAAACCCTAAACCCTAAACCCTAAACCCTAAAAACCCTCTAAACTCTTGGTGTTGCAGGAGAAGACCATTGGTCATGTTTTTATTGCATGCATTAAATATAAATTATAAATAATTTATTTATATAAAAAAAATAATTATTTATTTATTTATATAAATAAATAGAGAAAAGAGGCAGGTTAGGGTTTACTGTCTCCTAGGAGATAACAACTATATATATTTGCGGTGTATAGGCAGCTAAGAAGAGATAGTTTATAATTGGGGTGTATAGGCAGCTCTTGTCTCTTTCCTTTAAAAGAAGCAGCAGTTGCATAACCCTAAACACTAAACCCTAAACACTAAACCCTAAACCCTAAACCCTAACAACTCAATCGACAATCCCTCAATTGAAGAGAAACGGACAGACGTAGGGTTTAGGGTTTAGGGTTTAACCCTAAACCCTAATAAAAAATATAATGGATATATTGGGGTAGGGATTGCAGGGACAGTCATTCCACCCCTTTTATTTTTATTAGGGTTTAGGGTTAAACCCTAAACCCTAAACCCTAAACCCTAAACCCTTAATGGCCGTCTCCATGAAGGAAGATACAAAAACACTAATTAAGAGAAAGAAAACTCCATGGCGGGTTTTCCTTCTTATGCTTTATTTAGCAAATTGTAGCAACAATTGTACAGGCCTAAACCCTAAACCCTAAACCCTAAACCCTAAACCTTAAACCCTAGGCCCAAGAGTCTCTGCCTTCAACGGTAAACACTAATGTTGACTAGCAAATCTAAACCCTAAACCCTTCCTTTTTATCCAGTTAAGCACTTTAGTTCCTGCTCCATATCCTAACAAGTAGATATGCACCCTAGGGTTTAGGGTTTAGGGTTTAGGGTTTGGGGTCTAGGATTTAGGGTTTAGTGTGTGAAGGTGTATGTAGTGTGTAGACCGAGGAAACCGCTGCTGTTGTCGCGGCACACACATCCTCGCCTCTATCTATTGATTTGAGTTTGCACGTGCGGAATTAGGGTTTAGGGTTTAGGGTTTAGGGTTTAGGGTTTAGGGTTTAGGGTTTAGGGTTTGGGCTGCGCCGACTCGTGTGTGTGTCGTCTGCAGTTATCTGCGGCCCACCGCAGGTAACAACTTTGCATGCAAAATAAAAGGAAAAGAAAAATAAATAAATTAATTAAATTAATTTATGTAAATAAAAGAAGAAAAGATCTATAAATTGATGTCTCTGGGGCTTTTTAACATGCGTTCCAGCTGCTGTTGCTGCAGCAGCAGCAGCAGCAGCAGCAGCAGCAGCAGCGCGCGACGGCGGGAGCAGCAAACTGGCAACTGTATTGTGGGGATGTAGGGAGAATGAAATAATTGAAAAAGAAAAATAATTTTAATCTTTTAAGGGTCTTACCCCAAAATTTAGGGTTTAGGGTTTAGGGTTTAGGGTTTAGGGTTTAGGGTTTAGGGTTTGTCTCGTGAGTGGGCCGGACGACATTTGGCGATTTTGTTTGTTGCCTCGATAAATAATAAAAATAAATATAAATAAATTGAATAAAATAATTTATTTTTATTTTTATTTTTTATTTTTTTATTTATTTTTATTTATTTATTTATTTATTTATTTGTTTATTTATTTATTTATTATAGAGAATCTCCTCTTTTGTTTGCCCCCCGTGAGGCGACGGCTGCAAGAGCAGCAAAGCTGGTCCAACACAATACCAGGAGCAGCAGCAGCAGCAACAGCAGCAGCAACAGCAGCAACAGCAGCAACAGCAGCAGCAACAGCAGCAGCAGCAGCAGCAATGGACGAACTAGATGAAGTGTCTGCTCATCGTAGAGCAGCAGAAAGCGATTTCTTTGTTGATGGTGTCCTTACTGCCTCTCCTGCTTATACCCCAGCAGCAGCAGCAGCAGCAGCAGCAGCAGCGGGGGCAGCAGCAGCAGCAACTGCAGGAGCAGCAGAGAATGACGATTTCCTCTCTGCGTTTCCTTGTGCTGTCCTTGAAGGGACACACACACAGCAGCAGCAAACTAAAATATTAACTAATGCAGATCAGCAGCAGCAGCAGCAGCAGCAGCAGCAGGAGCAACTGCAGGAGCAACAGCTGCAGCAGCAGCTGCAGGAGCTGCGGCTCAAACTGCAGGAAGAAGCAAAGAGGGGACTGCAGCACCAACTGCAGCAAGAAGCAGAGCAGCAACTGCAGCAGCAGCAGCAGCAGCAGCAACCGCAGGAAGTACACATTCAATGGCCACAAAAGGCTACTCTTAATGGTAATTCTCCTGTTGCTGCTGCTGCTGCTGCTGCTGCTGCTGCTGCTGCTGCTGATCGGCAGCAGCAGCAGCAAAAGAGCGAGCACCAATCCAAACCCTCTGCTGCTCAATCAGGTAATGGCAGTGTATCAAAGCAGCAGCAGCAGCAAGGTCAGCAGCAGCAGCAGCAGCAGCAGCAGCAGCAGCAACAGCAGCTATCTGAATCCGTGCTGCAGGCAATAGCAGCAAGAAAGCTGCAGCTGCTGCCGCTAAGGGAATGGGAAGATGAGCATCGAGCAGGCATGGAACAATTCTTTAAGGCCATTGGTAAGGGTTTAGGGTTTAGGGTTTAGGGTTTAGGGTTTAGGGTTTAGGGTTTAGGGTTTAGGGTTTAGGCATTTTGGGAGACTGTAGCATGCGAATAGGCTCTGAAGCCGCAGCTACTGTTGATGTTACAGTCCGTGCTACTGCTGCTGCTGCTGCTGCAATATTATTATCTGCTGCTGCTGCTGCTGCTGCTGCTGTCTTGTGCTGCTGCTGCTGCTGCTGCTGCAGACGAAGTAGTAGAGAGTGTTTCTTCTTCCTTTAGACAAAGCCAAATGGAGCATCAGATGCTTCTTAAGTTCTTACGCGTAAACCCTAAACCCTAAACCCTAAACCCTAAACCCTAAACCCTAAACCCTAGACAGTAAACCCTAAAGAGTAAATAGTAAAATATACAAATAGATGCTTGTAAACACTAAATTAGGGTTTAGGGTTTATGGATGAGGGTTTAGTGTTTAGGGTTTAGGGCATAGCAGTTTTACTAGTTGTACGATCTCCACTGATATACTAGCATCACCAGAAACAGCAGCAGCAACAGCAGCAACAGCAGCAGCAACAGCAGCAGCAGCAGCAACAACAGCAGCAGCAGCAGCAAGTGTTGTGTGTTGCAGGGTCGAGCTAAAGCTGATAGAGAAGCAGCGAGGGTTTTTAGACACAGCAGAGGATCCTTATCTGGATACTGGACAGGCATGCAGCAGCAGCAGCAGCAGCAGCAGCAGCAGCTGCGGTGCCGCAGCAGCAGCGGCAGCTGCCATAGTCTCTTTGTTACAGAAAGAGAAGATGCAACAACAACAACAGCAACAGCAACAGCAGCAACAGCTGCACTGTCTGCTGCTGCCGCAACAGGTACAGCAGCAGCAGCAACAGCAGCAGCAGCAGCAGCAGCAGCTGCTGCTGCTGCTGCTGCTGCTGGCCATATGTCTCCTTCTAGCAGCACAGTGTTTAGCGGGATGTCTCCTCGTGACGGGATCGACTTCCCCCATTGGGAGGAGCAGCACGCAGCACCCCACAGCAGCAGCAGCAGCAGCAGCAGCAGCAGCAGCAGCAGGAGAGAGGGAGACAGCAGCAAGAGAAGAGACTCTTGTACACCTCCTTGGTTATCTACTGCATATGCACAAGTGCATGCAGATGAGGCAGAAGGACCTGCTGCAGCAACTGCTGCTGCTGCTGCTGTTGCTGCAGCAGATGCAGCACCTACTGTTGCTGTTGCTGCTGCAGCACCCTTTGATGCTGCTGGCAGCACAGTTGTCTTTGCTGCAGCAGACCATAACGATCATATCTGCAACAATTGTTGCAGCAGCAGCTGCTGCTGCAACAGCAGCAGCACATGGGGAGAGCAGCAGCAGCAGCAGCAGCAGCAGCAGCAGCAACTCAACAGGATCCGTGGCTGGGGCGAAGGAGTCTCCTCCTCGCAACCATCTGCTGCTGCTGCTGCTGCAGCAGGAGCAGCAGGAGCAGCAGGAAAAGGCCACACCCCCCCCACCACCACTACCAATCACCATCACCACCAGCAGCACCAACAGCAACAGCAGCAGCAGCAGCAGCAGCAGCAGAATCTATCTGCATGCAGCTCGTGGCTAGGAGGACTACAGGCTTGGACTCGTCAGCAATTTGTTCTGCAGGAGACTTTTTCTTCTTTTGTTGAAGGAGATATATTAAAGGGTATAATATATTATTTATTTATTTATTTATTTATTTATTTATTTATTTATTTATTTATTTGTTTATTTATCTATTTAGTTATTTATTTATTTGTCTCCCTTATTTATTTATTTATTTAGCTATTTATTTATTATTTATTTATCTATTTATTTATTTATTTACTTGTCTCCTTTATTTATTTATTTATTTAGCTATTTATTTATTATTTTATTTATTTGTCTCCTTTATTAATTTATTTATTTATTTATTTATTTGTCTCCTTATTTATTTATTTATTTATTTAATTTAATTTAATTTAATTAATTAATTAATTAATTAATTTATTTATTTATTTATTTATTTATTTATTTATTTATTTATTTATTTATTTATTTATCTATTTATCTATTTTGTATAGGTCTTTTCTTACGAGTGGCAAAACATTACGGAAGACAAGGAGCTAAAGATTTAGACAAACTTACAGAGGTATATATCTGCTGCTGCTGCTGCTGCTGCTGCTGCTGCTGCTGCTGTTGCTGCTATTGGTGCTGTTGCTGCTGCTGTTGCTGTTGCTGCTGTTGGTGTTTCCCATGGTGTAATGATGATTTGCTGCTGCTGGCGGTTACAGCAGTAACTGCTGCTGCTGCTGCTGTTACAAAGGTAACGCAGCAGCAGCAACAGGAGGAGCAGCAGCAGCAGGAGCAGCAGCAGCATTTATGTGTGTCTGCTTGCTGCAGCTAGTTGCTGCTGCTAAGAGGGCAGATGGCAGCAGCATTGCTGCATGGGAGGCTTACCTGCAGGCTGTTGCTGCTTCTTCGCAGGTAATTAGTTAATTAATTAATTAATTAATTAATTAATTAATTAATTAATTTATTTATTTATTTTAATTTAATTAATTAATTAATTAATTAATTTTTTTTTTTTTTGCTGCAGCCTTCTTCTTATAGTAGACAGCAGAGACAAGCTTGCTGTTGGCTAGAAGAAAATAAATACAGAATAGCTGTCTGTCTCCTTCATCATCATCAGCAGCAGCAGCAATAGCAGCAGCAGCAGCAGCAGCAGCAGCAGCAGCAATAGCAGCAGCAGCAGCAACAGCAGCAGCAGCAGCAGGAGCAAGAATTGTGTGCCTATTTGTGTGTCTTGCTGCAGATAAAAGAATCATCTGCTGCTGTTCATCAATTAATGATTGGATGTCTTACCTCTCTCCTTTCTTTACACCGTCTTAATTGTTAGTCCCTTCTTGTCTCCTTTTTTGTCTCCTTTTTTGTCTCCTTTTTTTGTCTCCTTTTTTTGTCTCCTTTCTTTACATCGTCTTAATTGTTAGTCCCTTCTTGTCTCCTTTTTTGTCTCCTTTTTTGTCTCCTTTTTTTTTGTCTCCTTTTTTTGTCTCCTTTTTTGTCTCCTTTCTTTACATCGTCTTAATTGTTAGTCCCTTCTTGTCTCCTTTTTTTTTTCTCCTTTTTTTTTGTCTCCTTTTTTGTCTCCTTTTTTTGTCTCCTTGTGTCTCCTTTCTTAATTGTTAGTCTTCTTTTTTTTTTCTCCTTTTTTTTTCTCCCTTTTTTTTCTCCTTTTTTGTCTCTTTTTCTTGTCTCCTTGTGTCTCCTTTCTTTACATCGTCTTAATTGTTAGTCTCCTTTTTTTTCTCCTTTTTTTCTGTCTCCTTTTTTGTCTCCTTTTTTGTCTCCTTTATTGTCTCCTTTCTTTACATCGTCTTAATTGTTAGTCCCTTCTTGTCTCCTTTTTTTCTCCTTTTTTTCTCTCCTTTTTCGTCTCCTTTTTTTCTCTCCTTTTTTTGTCTCCTTTTTTTGTCTCCTTTTTTTGTCTCCTTTTTTTGTCTCCTTTCTTTACATCGTCTTAATTGTTAGTCTCCTTTTTTTTTCTCCTTTTTTTTGTCTTCTTTTCTGTCTCCTTTTATTGTCTCCTTTTAGTGTCTCCTTCTATTGTCTTCTTTTTTTTATTGTCCCCTTTTATTTTCTGTCTCCTAAGCAGCAGCAGACACAAAAACAGGAGGAGGAGCAGCAGCAGCAGCAGCAGCAACTACAGCCCACCTGACAGCACATCAACTTACTGCGATCCTTATAACTGCTTATGCTGCTGTTGCTGCTGCTGCTGCTGTTGCTGCTGCTGCTGCTGCTGCTGTTGTGAGCAGCATGGAGACTTGCTGCGCTGCAGCAAATAGTTGGTGTCTTTGTATTAAAGGCATATAGTCATTTTGCTGCTGGCATGCAGACACTAGAACGACTCGCGGAGACACTAGGTGCTGCTCCTGCTGCTGTTGCTGCTGCTGCTGCTGCTGTTGCTGCTGTTGCTGCTGTTGCTGCTGTTACTGAGGGTGCTGTTGGGTCTGTTGTTGGCTTTTGCTGGATGCAACTGTCCCCTTTATCTGTCTCCTTTGCCCTCCTTCTCTTCTGCTGCCGCTCTCATACTCCCCTTGCTGCTGCTGCTGCTGCTGCTGCTGCTGCTGCTGCTGTTTCTGCAGGCCTTTCTCTACCGGAGATGAGCGAGGGGACAGCAGGAGCAGCAGCAGCATCGCTGCAGTGTCTGTCCCTTTTAGAGCGCCTGCAGGAGTCTGCTGCTGCTGCTGCTGCTGCACCGCCTGTTGCTGCTGCTGTTGCAGATGAGGAAGGAGACACAGAAGACACTGTATCCTCCTCAAAGAAGAAAAAGAAGCAGCAGCAGCAGCAGCAGCAGCAGCAGCAAGAGCACCAGCAGCAGCAATTTAGGACTAGCAGGACTGGCAGTTCCTTTAGCTTCTTAACAGATCTAGGGGACACATTTGGAGACAGCAGCAGCAGCAGCAGCAGCAGCAGCATGGAGTGTATACAGAGAGACAGTAGGAGTGTCTCTCCTAAGACACTGCAGCAGCAGCAGCAGCAGCAGCAGCAGCAGGAAGAAGAAGAAGAAAATTCTCTCTTTCGTGACGATAGCAAGTATAAGGCCTTATGGTCTATCCTAAGGAA